TCACTTTGTTTCAAGGCTGTTTTGACTGTATCTGTTCCATTTCAATTTTGCTGTTTCGACCTCAAAACTGGTTGAAACAGCGTCAAAACAAAACTGGCGGCAAAATTTTGCACAGCTCTACTACCCACCTACAAGATCCTTCAAACAACACCCCAAAACCTGAGAACTCCAACTCTTCCCTTGTCCTCTAACCACCGTGTCCCTGCACAAGCCCCCACATAAGCAAACCTTCCTACTAATCCCAACCATAGCTCCGGTTCACTACTCACAGCCAGATACATGAGATCTTTTCTCTCTTCCTGCCCACCCACTCCCACCCCCCAGGTCAACCCCACCCATCCCACCATCCCCTTTAAGCCAGAGCCTCCTCTTCTATACTTAACTCCTCCCCCACCCCACAACAAACATAACACAAATACCAGAGATCCCTAAACAAAGTAAAAGAAAAAGAAAGACCCTTCATCTCCGCCTCAATCAATGCTGAAAGACCAAAGAGCAACCTTAAGTGTTGCCCCAGGGTGGCACCTGCCCAGGGAGGTCTGCCAGCTTTGTAGGGTCTTTAGGCTGGTCAGGTTCTCCTCCCTCCTTTATGGCTGAGATGGTGCCTGGACTGGGTCCCAGCCCACACAGGGCAGGGGGTGGTGGGAGGGTGTGTTGGTAGTTCTTCAGCCCAGGGAGGCCTTTTGGCTTTGCTGGACCTGCAGGGACTTACACTGGTTTAAAGCTCCATGTTGTTTGACCATGCCGCTTTTCTTATGGCATCAGGTCAATTTACTATTTGTGTAATAAATGTGTGCTGTATCTGTACCCTCCTTCCACCGTAGGAGGTAGCATGCCTGTGTCACTGCCTGGTGATATAGTGAATCATGATATGTTTCCCTAGGACAAAAAACATTTAAATTTGGACAAGATTTCTTTATCTTTTTAAACTATCTGGGAGGCTGAAACAGGTTTTGCAAAGAATGTCCAGCCTGTCAAACCATGACATTTTGTAGGTTTATCTTAAAGCCAGTTCTCACCAAACATTGGACCCAAACCAAAGAGCTACACAGCAAAAAGCATGAGCCTCTACCCGCTAAGCTAAAAGAAGCAGAGCCAAATTAAGACTCTTATTAGACTTTTGCTTGTCTCTTCTGTGGAGAAGTCATAAGATAGTTAAAAGATCCACTATCTCCTTGCATGAGTAGTATGGGTATGGAAAGGCATAGGAGTCCATTTCCAGAGCATCCGTGCATAGGTGGCGGGAGAAAATATTATCTGGGGGGCTGGAGGAGCATGTGTCGAGGGCAATGAGCATGGTGTTGTGGTGGCAGGGCATGGCAGTGGCACTGGAATAGTGGAGCTGCACAGAGCTGAGTATGCCTGGGATGCTGGTCTGGCTGTATGCTGAGTGGTGCCGGGCACTGCAGGGCAGTGGTGCCATGGTGCTGCTGCTGTTGTCAGCTACTGCAAAATTAGTTTGGGGGATCTAAGCCCTGTTAGCCCTGACCTTTCGCCACCTACACATCCATGGCAGGGTCAGGTCTCTTTGGTGGGGCAGTAAGTATAGGGTAATGTTTAGGAGTAAATAATCCTAGGCGAGTGGATCTTTTCTGCATACCTGTTTAGGATGTGAAGGGGAGGGCACACTCCAGGGCAGCCTCAGGGGAAGCACTGTAACTGATGTTGGTTTGTCTACCTGTTTTTGTTTTCAGGAGGTTTCCATGAGCATGACTTGCAGGCCTGTTTAAAAGGCTTAAGTTTGGTGTAAGCCTTATGAAGTTGTGCTTCCCTAGAGTGATGTCATATCTACATGCCATGACCCTGTAGCACAGGGGTGCCAGAAAGATACCATTACAAGGTGAGCAAATATGCTGGTTTCAGGACATTGGGACTGAGTCCAGACTGAGTCGACTTGCTGGGATTCCTTTTCATCATCCGTTTGGGCTTTACTCAGTGCATCCCACACATCCTGTTATTCTGAAAATCTCTCCAGTTCAGCACATGCCCTTCCATGCATGAAACCAGAATGTGCCCCTGAACTGCTTTGTGGAGACCTGCTCGCCCATCCAGCTCTGAGTCAGCTCTGTGCTGCCATTACTGCTTACCAGGAATCCAATCCAGAAGTAGACTCCACTGGTCACAGTGAGGGCAGGGTTGCTGGCTTCTGCAATCGTCAAGGCAATCCCAAAACTTATCTGTGTGATGCCAGCTACTATCTGTATTGACTGGAGTGGAAGAGGAGAGGGGGCCCCAAGTCAGTCTTACACAAATAATTCAGTAGCATTAGCATTATCTACAGTGTCACCTCCTCTGGCCTCACCAGCTCCATCAACACAATTAATATCACCACAGTTATTACCCCGTCACCACCACTGCCTTTACCAACTCCATAACCACTGCCACTATGACTGTTGCTAAGTTCAGTACCAACAGCAGCCTACTGATAATGTCATCATTTCCACTATTACTGCTAAAATCACTACCTATAGCAACAACTTCCACCACCATGACAACTATCAACCCTGCTACTGCTAACCTCACCACCCCTATCAACACTGTTAATGTCCTCATCTCTATCACCATATTAAAACCATCACTTTTATCCCAACTCTATCACTGCCACTAAGATCATCACCCACTCACCACCTCATCATCACCATCTTCATGCTGCAAACACCATCACCACATCACTACCATTAATGTCACCACTATCATGACATCACCACTGCTAATATCACCATAATTTTACATAACCCTTGCTAAAGTCACCACCATCATGGCAGCACCACTAAGATCATTACCATCAGGGCATCAACCCTTCCCACCCCTCCCCACTGCTGCAACCATCAGCACACTACTCGTTGCTGCCTCTTTATATCTATCCTGCCTTCTAATTACACCTCAGCCACCACCACCAAGGTGAGCATCTGCACTTTCATCAACATCTATACAACCAGCATGTGATCACACCTAGTGGGGATTCCTCTCCTCCATTTCCATTTTTCCCCCTTGGATAGTGAATTGAAGCTCCCTGTCAATCCATTACCTAAAATCTTCTTCCCTGGAGGTTATGTTCTGTGTTCATGACCCATGAAGTCAGTGGGACACATGTACCAACAGGCCTATAACAAACAGACTGTACCCAAACTCTAAAAGTACTGACAGAATGAAATGCATCCAGGGAAAGAAATAGGGTTGATGGACCCATCTCCTCCCAGGGAGATTTTCTCCCACCCTCCCTGCCTTTTTCTGTGCACAGGGGAGATATTGGACACCTCAGACTGAAAGAGGGATGTTATACTAGGGAACATGTTCCTAGTAACCCCTAGGCAAGATATGAAAAGTTCCAGCTACCCCTCTCTACATGTCCCCATGTGGGTTGCTACATGCTAGTAACCTCAGTCATAACCTCACCCCAAGTGCCTTAGGCTGTGCTTTCCTGAAGTCTTTGACCAGAATTGAGCCTGGATAGGATGTGGTGGGGCTGGGGCATGGCATCAGCTGCGCAGCCCGGGGGTCTGTGGCTTGGAGGACCTGTGTGATGACTTTCACTCCACCAGACTCTGACACTGTGGATGCCATGTCAATGTGAGCTGTGGAGAGAACAGGGAAGTCGGGGTTAGAAGCAGGGTCAGGGCCAGGTGTGAGAGTGCCAGGTGCCTGCAGCAGGAGGTACCAGGTGCCTGCAGCAGGCCCAGGGAAAAGACCTCTTTTGCAGGAAGAGAAAGGGGTGGATGACTGCTGCTTACCTTGGGAGCCTCCCTTGACAAACGGGAAGGGCCTCTGGGGTGATCTTGTCATAGGGATCTCAGGGGAGAGATCCTAGGAGTCTGCTCATTATCAGGGGTGACATGTAGGGGGTGCATGTGCACCCCCTGAGTGTAGCGGTGCAACCTCTACCCTCTGAGGGTGATTGCTGCTCACCATCCCCCTTCCCTCTCCCCCACTGCCGACAACACCGGCGGTGTCTGCAGTCGGTCAGTGATCCCCACTGGCCACCACTGATGCTAACAGTGGCATCTGCAGGTGGTTGCTGACCCTTGGTCAGCACTTGCCTCCACCCCTTCCACTGCCGACAGTGCCGGTGGCATCTGTGGGAGCTCCCGCTTACCACCACCGTGCTCCTGCCGCTGCTGTCACATTCCCGCTGCTGCTGTGCCCCACCCAGCCGCCAGGGGCATGCGTCATTCATGCTCACTGTGGAAATTCTCAGAAAGAGATTCCAGGGGGAGATTACAAGGGGAGTACTTGCTATGGGGAAATCATGGGAAGGATCCTAGAGATGTTCCAGCTATGGGAGGTGAGGGTGTTACAGGAAACAAATCCCAAGGGATCTTGCTGCTGGTATCCCAGTGATTTGCTCCCTAGCATGATGGATCCCAGGTTCCATGCTCCACTGAAATGATTGGGGTACACCAGGATCTGGGAGGACAGTTGTTCACCAGGGCTCCCCAAGGGATAACAAGGTCTAATGGCCACAAACTTCTGGAAGGCTGGTTTAGACTGGACACAAGGAAAAACTTCTTTACAGTCCAAGTGTCCAAGGTCTGGAACAGACTGCCCCCAGAGGAGGTGCAAGCACCTACTCTGGACTCATTCAAAAAACATTTGGATGCTTATCTTGCTGGGATCATTTGACCCCAGCAGACTTCCTATCTCTGGCAGTGGGGCTGGACTCAATGATCTTGCGAGGTCCCTTCCAGCCCCTAATGTCTATGAATCTATCAAAGAGAGCTATTACTTCAGGGAGAGTGAGTGAGAGCCTTGCCCCTGTCTTTCCTCAGGCACCTGGCAGGAAGCTGCAGGCTCCAGGGAGCAGGAAGTGGACTGTGGAGCAGAAGCGACCAACTCTGGGATGATTGCTCCATGCTGCATACTAGTTACATCACAACATTCGCCGTGCTTGCTGGCAATGGGAGAAGAAAGGCTGTGTCACCTAGGGTTCAGGAGCTGGGGGCACACGAGGGGGTAGAGAGAGGAGGCTGAAGGTCATTGAGGACAGGAAGTCAGCTTCCACTCGCTCAGGGACGGTAGGAAAGGGAAAAATTGAGGTGGCAGAGAAACATGAAACAAAACAAGCCACAGAGAGAGATAAGTGTGGAAGGGGTTGTGGGGGGAACGGGGCATGGCAGATAGAAAGACAGCAATAGCAAGAGCCAGGAAAACAGAGTAAAACAGGGCCAGGGAAGGAAGAATGTAACACAACCAAAGGGAGGAAGAAGAAATGAAGGGAGTATGAAGGAGGGAAAAATGCGAGGAGGTGGAAAGAGGGTTTGGAAATCAAAAGAGAGGGGAGGGTAGAGTGAGAAGAGAGAAGTGTGTGGGAAGAAGTGACAGGATAATATATGAGGCTGAGGGAGTGTGGAGAGATGAAGAGAGAAACGCAGAGGAGTAAGGATCAGATGGACAGAAAGAGAAATTCGGCTTGAACTCAGAGACAGGGGGGCGATCAGCAAAGATGTGTTTTGTCTCCAGCTGTTCAGAGATCCAAGACCTTAGTGACAATCCAACAAACTGTCTCCCACCCTGTCAGCGCGGGTATTTCCCCCCTCCCCTCGGTCCTCAACTACCCACTTAGTTCTCTGGGTAGAAGAGAGCTAAGATCCCCTGCCTTTACTTACCCCTGCCTTCCTCAGGCTTGTGGCTGTGGTATGCAGTGAGAATCCTTGAGCGCTCTACCTCTGTAAGTTTCTTGGGAGAAGATCTTGACCAGAGCTCAGCAACGGGTGGGAAAGGACTGAGCTTGTCAGGGGAACGGAGGCTGGCTTGGTAGCTGAGTCCGGGCAGGAAGTTTATTTAGGGAAATTTGCAAAAGTTCCTCATTTCCAAATAGTGTGCTCAGGTCTGCTTGCCAGATGCAAGAAGCAGGGCTGAGGATAGGACATTGAAAAGAAATTGGTTATGTCTGTGTGTGCATGCGCATGAGTATATGTGAGAGGGAAAACATGACCCAGAGACTCATCCTAATGGAAGGAGAGGGAAAATCGCTTTGAGATGGAGATGTGAGTGTCTCTCTCACAATCTATGAGTGAATGGGGCTCCACACAACATCCCAGAGGACAGAAGGCTCCTTTTTATGTACGAAGTGGGTGACAGAGGTGAGCGTCCCTCATACAGTCCCACCTAGCAGGTAAAGGCTCATCCTTCAGCAGGTCTTCTCTGCTTGAGTTTTGGCCCATGCTGAGGGCAATTCTGGCTATGACCTAAGGCTTAGGGATCTGGTTTCCAGGCTGGGGAAGGACAGCATAGAAAGTTCAACACTTGTGAGGGCACCCAAACATCCTATTGGCTGCTGTCCTTTCAAAGCAACTTCTGAACCTTTTCCAGAAATCCAAAACTTGACACTGACAGCCTGGTTATCCCCTCAGACCACTGTGATATATGTGTGGCTGTGAAAGTGAGAGCTCTGAAGCCATATCTGACAAAGACAGTGGGGGGCTCTTGCCATAGGTGTGATATCAGTTTGGGGAATACATCTGCATCCTGTTCTGAATGTGGCTCATGAGCACTCTTTGTAGCTGTCGCAGTCACTTTGAATGAGAGCTTTCATTTGGCAGTAGGAATGTGGAAGGAGGCTAGAGGAAGGAGCTGATAAACCGGAGGAAAACCGGGCATTCAGGGGCTTATGTGCTGTGAGTGGCTCTCTTGTGCTAGACTCACTGAGGCCTTTCCTGTGAATGGACTATCTCCTTATAGAAACCTGTGTAGGGAAGAAAAGGGGTTGGGATTCTGCGTCACACAAGCAAAAACTGGCAGACATGAATGACTGGTGCCTCCCAAGACTGGGGGGGGGTACCATTTGTAGGAGGCAGCATCAGCAGCAAGCAGGGACTGTCTGCAGATGCTGGTGGCAGCATTGGTGGTGAGGGGAGAAGGGTGGCGAGTGGGGATCACTTGCAGAAGCCAGTAACAGCATTGGCATCGGCAAATCTTAGGGGGAGCATGTACCCCCCCCCCACCCCCATGTCCCACCTCTGAGTTGCTTATGCTGGCAGACCTGCAGTTTTTCTCCTGATGACATTCTGTCAGAACCTACTTTTAAAAGTGAGCAAAATCAGCCATTTCATTGCTCCAAGAAAAGACACTTCTGGAAGAACAGGGGCAAAGAGGGCCTGGGACACATACATCACTGAACATAACCCCAAGCAGAGACGATCCCAGCAGGGTGCAGGGCCTGGGGCAGAATAGCCTGCATGAGGTCCCCCTCCCACACTTACACTGGGGAGCGAAAGCCTCAACACACTGGACGTGGCGGGATGGGTGGTGGCTAGAACTTCTGGCCAGAACAGGCAAAAAGTCATCCAACCTGCTGGGGGAGCCAGTGGGCTAAACTTCAAATGTAGCAGGCGCGGCCTCTCCACCTGGCTCTGTGGGGCCCCCCAAAGCACGGAGCCTGGGGCCCGGGGCAATTGCCCCGATTCGCACCCCGCTAAGGACTATGACCCCAAGAACTCTCCACAGGAATGAGGACTCTGACAAACTGGTGTCCTCTGAGGAAACCTTTAACAATAATTTGTGGAGTTATACTGAAATTAGGCTTAGAGGTTTGCATTGCTTTTGGTAGGCTGACTTAAAATTAGTTGAGATAGACTGGTGCTTTCTAAGGCTAAATAAAACCTTGGAGCTGTGCCTTCCAAACACATTTGAACCAAACGACAAAATACATAAAGGACAGATTTATTAAAAGACATGAGTGTTGATCTGGAAAGAGGAAGCTGAAGTGGGGTTTTTTTTGTTGCTCTTATCACTCTGTTGCAATGTTCTGTGGCACAAAGAAGAAACATGACTTCTCAAAGTCAGCACATCCTTTTCTATTGAAGTTTCCTTTCCCACACATTCCTGTCCGTAGTTGCAAGGAGCCTTGGTGATATGACTGAGCTCACAGCTCTTGGAAAGGGATTATCTGAGCTATTTCTTTAAATCTGTAGAAAGAAGCCAGTTGAGAAGGTTTGGGCTTGGAGATGTGGAATCACTTCAGTGAAGCAGAGGGGAGACAGAGTAGCTATAGAAGTAAGACTGATCCCCTTATTGTAATTAAGTTCTGTGTTAAGTGTTCGAAATAACTGTTTCTGGGATTCTTTATCCTTGTCACATGACATGGCACCATGTGCCAACTCATTTTGGATCAATAGGAGTAATGGGTCAAAAATCCTAATTTATTTTAAGATGCAGCTTGATCAGTTTATGGAAGGGACTATACAACACAGTTGCCTGAGATAGAGAAGGGTTGGGCTGAATGATGCAGCAGGTCCCTTTCAGTTTTATGGTCCTAACATTTAGAACAATGATGTGTAAGGATCTGGCTGCAATGACTTCCTCCTTGAAACATGATGCAGGTTTCAGATCTTCTATGTAAAGCTCCTTTCCCATTAGGTCTGTGCCCCACTCTCCACTTTTCTGTAATCCCATCCATGTGTCTCTGGATTTTCTCTTTGTGCCTCACTGCACCTCTCATATTTCTCAGGCTGCGCAGGGTGCCTGGTCCTTCTCACATCAATATCTCAAGGTCTGAGGCACATCACACTACGTGATCTCTATCTGGGAATACTGATACATGTAATACCAAAGGAGTGGAAACTGTTGTCCAGGCCAGTGTGTTCAGTCTCCTGCATTTGCAGACAATCATTTAATGAAGGATTCCCCATAACTGCCCCTTATAACCCTGAGTTAGAAGGAACAATGCAAGGAACAGTACCTGAAGCACCAACAATACCCTATAAATAGGTAAAAGCAGCGGAGATGAGGGCACTGACAATGCATGGCTACTGCAGTTGCAGAGAAGTATATCAAAAGATCCTAGGAAAAGCCCCATGTCCCATGATGTAGAGGACGCTGTCTCCCCATCCCAGTTCATGCCAATTTGACATTGGGGAAAAATTCCTTCCTACCTGGCTTTGGCACTGGTGTAAGCCTGAGCGGAAGAGCAAAACCCTTTAGCCAGTCCATTGTGGCTTCCAGTGAAAGGAATGGAAACTCTGCTGATGTTAAAATGGTTCCATTAGTGTTGTTGCTGCTGTGTTTAAAGTGGAGTTTTGGCCAGGGAAGAGACTATGTAGGAATGGTCCTTCTTCACTCAGCAACTGTGCTGTAAGTCAAGACTGCCTGCCTTTCTAGCCTACCTCTTATAGAAAGAGGTAGTTAGCCATGTTAGTCTGAAGTCAGGCAAAAGACAGGGTAGATTTGCCCCTTACATACTAAATAAATGAGAGATGCATAAGCTTTGGCAAGCAGCGGCTTACTTCATCTACTGAAGTAAGCTGCTGCTTTCCAAAGTTTAGATATCTCAACTCTTGTATAACCCATTACTAAAATGCAGCTACCTCAGGGCTGGATTCTGGTAACTATTTTTACAGTGCTGCATGGAACATTTAGGAAAGAAAGTGAGGAATATTATTTTTAATGAAATTTACAGAGGGCAGTGTGAAATAATGTGTCTGGACATTAGCTGGACAAGAACAGGTCCTGCTTGTTTGCATTCATCTGCCTAGGCAGTGTATAAGAAGCCTTCTTGAATTGGTCAGGGCTAGACAGGAGCGAATTTATAGTTGAATGCAACAAGACAAAAAAAGTGCCTTCTGCCTCTTGCAAGAAGTGCAGCTGGTGCTTAATGTTGACACATAGGCAAAGCTATCAATAGCATAAAAGTAATCACGCTGAACAAAACTACAGCTCAGTCATCTGCTTCCTGTTGGCATTGCAACACAAGCCAGAGACAGATTTGTGAAGCTTTAAAAGATTGAATTGAGTGACGGATATCTTTATTCATGGACCTTATTACTTTGTGAAGATATTGAGGAATGTATAATTGCTCTCCTCCTCCTGTAGCATTTCTTATTTGGTCTCCCTTTAATTAACCCCGACAGTTTACAAAAGAATGGGTATTCTAGCATCATGTGGGTCCCTTATACGGGTGTAAACTTGGAAATAAGGAAGTTGGTCTCAACTTTTCATCAGGGACCAGTGGTTTGGAGTACCTGACTTGAGGTGCTTTAAAAGGGCCTCTATTACTAGAAATGCTAAGGCTCTGCCATCTGAAAACAAGGCCATTTAAAGCAGATCCAGGCCGGGTCTCCAAAAATCAAGGCCCTCAAAAATTACTGCATCTGAAAATATTGGCCATGAGAACCTGAGTTAGAACTCAGTAGTATCTACAAGAGTCTTTCCCCTGATTTTAACAAGCCTCAGATCAGTCTCTGAGAGTATTGTGCCTGAATGAAATGTCACAGTATCTTGTTCAATCTGGGCTAGATCAGGCTGAGCTCTATCCTCTGGCAAGTGTGATGCTGGGGCTCTTAACACTGCCCCAAAGCAGCACAAAGCCACGAGGGAGGTCTGGCTCTCAGTATCTTGTCTCCATTGCATTACCTTGGTTGGTGGTGACTCTGGCAGGCCAGTAGGGGGTGCTCCTGCATTGAGCTACCCACCTCACTGTGCCCGACCACCTTCCAGGCTCCAAATGTCTCCCTGGGGGCACTTCAGATCTGGCCGACCCCCTTCCTGGAGCACACCCACAAGCCTGGGGGGTAATGCTGCCACCACCCAGAGTCTGGACTGATCCTAGACCTGCGCCCCCTGGGAAACACAGTCCTAGTAGTCCTTGAGGGTACTTGACCCACTGCAAGAATTTGGGGGTGCATCTTTCAGTCTGAAATACAAATAGTGGTCTCCCTTAGTCAGCCAAACCAAAGGGACCCCTAGTCTAGACCCTCTCCCAGTAAGTCTCCCACACTAGGTACAAAGGAGAACTTTATCGTTTACAA